CCCCTCTCCCCCCCCCTCTCTCTCTCTCACACACACACAAGTTTTGATCAACTAAATGGGACAGTTTTCACACGTTTATCAAATTGATGTGATCAAAACTAATTTTGTGTGTTTTGCTTTGCGACACGCTAGTCGACTCGGAACTTCAATCGCACGCGATGGGTATTCGGTTGAAACGCTCAGTATGTGCATCGCAGTACTGCAGGCAACGGCTATGGACCCGAGGCATCCGCTGCTGGTGTTCCCATTACCCATCATGGCATTTCTGCTCGTGGTCCTTCAAGCACTCATGTTCTACGACGGCATCCACGGCAAAGTCATGAAAAGTTTGATAGTAAGTAAGCAGGTACTATATTTTTGCAATGTCCATTTACAATTTGGACGATTGCCAAGAGTGTGCCTTTACTGTAACCCCCCAAAACATGAATTTGTTAACATGGCATTAGCGTCAGTCGATGTTATTTTAAGAAATCTGTTCACTTTAGAACGTCATTCTCGTTTCGGACAGGGCCCTTACATTGTTTACGCCGACTACTTTAACAATTGTGAACCAAACCTTCCCTCAACATGGTTCTTGCGTGCTACTCACTTTAACCCACGTAAACCAAAAGAGTTGCAAGTCCTGAGTGGCAATTGGACGGTTTCATTCATGTTTGACGCCAACACCTGGGTGAGTCATTTAAGATAGAGTTGTGACATTCAGACGGTTAAAGGTGAATGTCAAAGTGGCTCACACAAAGGTGTACATGCCAGCCAAAACACACACAAAAAAACTAGCAAGTCCGCTATTTGTGTTGAGCAACTATACACTATTCATACACACTAACTTGCCAAATCTTTTTAATACGGTAATAGATGAAATCAGTTGTTGACGTTCGGTCAAATAACCAATGGAAGGAAAACGCCTTTGTGTTAAACTTCAAAAACAATGCATGTCGAGCTTTGAAAGAGAATGCTCCTGAAATCTACAATCAAGTTTTCAAGCAAGCAGAAGACAAAGGCGCGCATTGCGCGTTGAAACCTGTAAGTACTTAGACTGCAAGTCTACTCTCGCCATACCGTTACGTACAGTCGGGTTTCCTTACCTGGATGTACACCCAGAAAACGATATTCTTGATTTTAGAGTAACATACTAATGTTTAGTATGTTGACAGTGTATAATACGATCCAAGTATGTCATTCTAATCTTCATTATGTGAATACCCTAATCGGAGAGAAAAGTATGTAACATACTAAAGTTTAGTGTGTTTGGTTAGTATGTGACATACTAACCTTTAGTGTGTTAGTCCCCTAATCTAAGAAAAAGAGAATGCCGACTGGGCCAGGGTCAGCAGCTAACTAGACATTTAATACCGCAGATTTCGAAATAGGGCCCCGTTCGAATAGTCAAACCGGCAGCACCCCAGGATCTAGGCTACCGGGGCAAAACGGAGGCCCTGAATAAGAGGACCGGCGTTTACCTGAAATTTATTTGGAAGAACTCAATCTGGACGAATTTTGGGCACCTTGTCTGACTCCACACCACACTTTGGTCCCGAAATACGCACACTCGCGCCCGCACACTGTACCTCAAGGACAGGCCCGTTGGCACTGAGCAAAACAATAAAGTTTGGATAGTGGTTTATTCTTCAAACCCGTCCGGATTCAGGAACCTTGACGCATATATTCTTTTTTTATATATATATCTTGTGTTAGTGAGTGGACATTTTGGAGGAAAACAAAAAGCAATGGTTAATGTTATTTACAGGGAACGTACGAGGTCAATAACACCCGAGCAGTTTGGAATTTTCCAAATCTTCCAGTCATGCCTTACGGACACTATAGGTACAGATCCTGGTTTGGCAAACCCGAAAAGGTGTACTACGGATGCTGGGTGGCTGAGGCCTGGGTCGTTCCGAAACCCGAATAGCACTACAATGTCAATGGTTTATTTTATTGATGCAATGTACAATAAAAACCAGCGGTATACCGCAAAATATACGGGGTTGCTGCTTGCACTTAAAATTCACTGTTTCCTTCTCTCTCTCTCTCTCTCTCTCTTTCTCTCTCCCGTCCTATTATTACTCCTCACCTCTTCCACGCCCGCGGTGTGAGCGATAAGGATAAAGCGATAGCGACTGGCGGCCGCACGGACAGACAGATAGGCGGGCGGGCGGGCGGGTCACAGCGCCCCGGCGGGGAGGCGCAGCCAGACTGCTGACCAGTTCCTGTCGCACCAGGGCGCCGCGCGCGCCCTCCCTTCCTCGCCGCCGCCGCTCCGCGCTCCAACCTCGGGACGGTATTGCGCGGGGACCACCGGCCCACAGCACGTCCGCGACGACGCGACGCGCCTGCGCGCTGATAACCGATAGCACCGTGGCGTCGAGTGATAACGGCCATGCCGCCCGGCCCAGGCGCCCGCCGACCAGGTAAACCACAAACTGATAAGAGCACCGCGTCAATAACAAACGGCGAAAAAACTGGGGGAAAAGAGTTATATACGCTCCAGATTCGACATTCCATTGTTTTCATTCTCTTTCAATTTTTCCGTATTGCCCACGGCAGCCCATGGCGGTGAGTATCGTTAAATAAACTTTTTTTCAAAACACAATATCGGTAAAATTGTGTCGGCACTTTCTGGGTTCTTTTACGCGGCCGGTATGCAACTTTCTGGCGCAGCGCATACAATTTCTCCTCACCTCTGCCCCGATTTTCGAAGCTATTCCTCATCAGACCCGTTCCCCCTCTCCTCGCGCTTGCAGTACCTCCTGATCCTCACGCACGGCTCCGGCAGTACATCTCTGATGAATGGCACGCCTGTGAGCACCCGGCGGCGGGGCGGGGTGGGGCGGGGTGGGGCGAGGTGGGGCGAGGTGAGGTGAGGTGGGGCGAGGTGTGGCGAGGTGGGGTGAGGTGGGAATGGAAAGGGGGAAGGAGGCATCGCGCTAACCCGCCGCCGTCGCGACGCGGCGCAATACGGAGGACGGGTCGGCTTCGACGACGGGGCCGGACAAGTCCGTCGGCGCGAACGTTTTTGAACTTTGGCGCGCTTTTCCTCGCTGCCCAAAGGGCGACGCTCGTGAGTCACACCACGCCACGCGAGGCGGTGCACATAACACGTGACAAAGCGGAAACCGTTATCGCGCAAATACGTCACGCCGGAACGGCAACGGCAGTGTTCCACCGGGTGAGGCGTGGTGTGGGGGCGGGGCGGGGTGTTCCAAACCCCGGCTAGTCCTGGGTCCTGGCCTCGGGGTGTTCCGCTGCTCGCCACGCCACGCCATGAAGCGCACACGTCTGTAATACGTGCCAGGGGCCGCAGGGGTCGCCGCCGGGCCGGTCGGGACAGATAGGCTCGCTCCGGGCCCGGGGGGGGGGGGAGTGCCCGGGGCGCCAAGGTGCCACACAGAGGGGGGCGCGCGCACCAATTGGCCTCGACACGCGGCTATTTGCCGCCTATTTGGGCTTACAGAGAGAAGGAGAGAGGAAGAGAGAAGGAGAGAGGAAGAGAGAAGGAGAGAGGAAGAGAGAAGGAGAGAGGAAGAGAGAAGGAGAGAGAGAAAGGATGGGGAGGGAGGGACTGAGGGATCCGGATCGAGGGGAAGAGGGAGGAGGAGCAGGGGAGGGACACTGGTTAGAGGACCTCCGCTTGTCCCACCGTGCTGGCGACGATTACTCTCTCTCCCTCTCTCTCTCTCTCTCGCGCGCACGCTCGCTCGCATTGTCTTTGTCTGCTTTGAGCGGTGCGGTTCACGAGTGCGCCCCGGCCTGAGCGACAAACAGCGCAGGTGTTTACTCGCTCTCTCGCTCCAACCGTCCCCCTCCAACTCCGTCCTATTTCTTTTTTTCTCTCTCTCTCTCTCTCTCTCTCCCCATGCAGCATGGCGGTGGGCAATCAGTTCGATGGCGAGAAAGGGGGGAGGGGAGTAGGAGTAGGCGAGTGAGAGGTGAGTGCGCTGCAGGCCCGGCCCGACGCGTTTGTGAGGCTCAGCGGTCAGGTCGCACCACAGCCATCGCTCGCTCTCTCTCTCTCTCTCTCTCTCTCTCTCTCTCTCTCTTTCCCTCTCGCTCGGTGAGGGCGCGCAATTGCAGCAGCAGCCGATGCCAAAAGCACTTAACAGACTGCCACAACACGCGTAGCTCCCCGCGCCCTGAGCCCGCCGTGCTACGTGCACCTGCATGCTAACGGCAAACGCGCCCCTCCTCCCCTCTACTGCGCGTGACGTCACGTTATTTACAAAAGTGTTTACATAACGCTCTCTCTCTCTCTCTCTGTTCCTCCCCCATTCTGTCGCTCCCCTAGCTCCTATTGCCGTCACATACACACACGAGCAGGCGCGCGCGCAGAAAAAAAAAATAGAATTGGAATAGTACCAAGGACCTTTTACAGGGATAGACGCGTTGGGAGGGGATGCAGACTGGGAGAGGCAGGAGAGGGTGGGAAAGACCGGGAAGAAGGGAGAGAGAAACGGGGTGAGGGGGGAGAGAAAAGAGATGGTTTAAACTGGCTGCCGTCGCCCACCAACGAGACGGTCACGAGACCCCACCCCACCCCTCCTCCTCTCGTGGACCACATGCATGAATATTCATCCGCATCATAACGATACAATAAAAGAGACCGCGTGGCTCCGGCGGCGGTGGTCCCGCGGCCCGGCGGGGCGGGGCGGGGCGGGCGGGGCGCCGGGTGTGGCCCCGTAGGGTGCTGTTATTCCAAGGCCCCGCTGAGCCACCAGAGCGGCTACGCCCGCACCACTCGTCCAACCCTTCCGCAGTAAAGCTCGCAGGACCGCGTCATGGCGCCGTGTTCCATGCAGTTGTGCGCGCCAACTAGGCAATGGGAAGGGAGAGGGAAAGAGACAGAGAGAGAGGAGGAGATAAGGACGAGCACCTGGTCTTCATACCATTACTTAAGGGTAGGACGCGTGAGTGCGACCTCGACATCGGCCAGGCTTCTTCTCTCATATGAACAGCTGCGTCTCTCTCTCTCTCTCTCTCTCTCTCTCTCTCTAAGCCCTGCGCTGATCAAAGCGCCCCTCGAGCGGCTTGGGCCCAACGAGAAGTTCGACTGTGCTCGCAGACTGCTAGCAGGAGAGAGGCAGCAGGCAGGCGACCCCCGTTGACCTGGTTTCCTAAATGAAGTGAGAACTGCCTGAGGAGGGTCCCTGCAACTGATTTCGAGAAATAAGGGAGCGTCACTCTTAATGACAAAAAGTGAAAAAGTAAAAACAGTCAAACTCATTGGCAAATTTCAAAGTTATTGACTGAGCGATTAGCGAAGCCTATTACTCCAGTGATCAACAAGTTTTGCGCCTGTCTGTATGTCTGTCTGTGTGTCTGTTTGTGTGTCATCACAATAACTCGAGAACGGTTTGAGATAGGTACATGAAATTTTTATTGTCACTTTGTATCATAAAAAGCAAGAACTGTACTGATTTTAGCTCAAAAATTAACGTGATTTTAGCTCAAAAATTAACGTGCAAAAAAATCAAAAACAAGAAACGAACAAGATACGAAGTTATCATATCCAGTTTTAATAATGTATTTCGACCCCACGCAAAAACTGCGATATTGTACGGGGTACATTAATAAATTAAACCATGAACCATGAACATTGTAGTGCTACTCAGGTTTCGGAATGAACCAGCCTTCAGCGCCCCAGCACCCGTAAACAATTTCAGGTTTGCCCATCCAGGCTCTGAGCCTATAGTGTCCATAAGGAAAAGCTGGAAGATTTGGAAAAATCCAGGCTGCTTTGGTGTTATTGACCTCGTAGGTTCCCTGTAACATTAATTATTGTTTTTTGTTTAAAGCCCAAAAAATATCCACTCTCTAACACAAGATACCAGAAACAAAAGTAGAGCCAAGGTTCCTAAATCCGGACGGGCTGAAAGGATACGATTTTAAAACACCTACAATTTTTGTTGCGCAAAAAAAATAGCCCAAAGGGTGCTGCACCGGGTCGGGTTACCTATTCGAACGGGGCACTAAGGCGCTGTTGCCGATAAGAAACTACGGCCACGCGACTACATGCAGGTTAGGGACTCTGTACGTAACGGTAAGGTGAGAGTAAACTTGCAGTCTAAGTACTTACAGGTTTCAACGAGCAATGAGCGCCGCTGACTTCTGCCTGCTTGAAAACCTGATTGTAGAGTTCAGGAGCATTTTCTTTCAAAGCTCGACATCCATTGTTTTTGAAGTTTAACACAAATGCGTTTTCCTTCCATTGGTTATTTGACCGAACGTCAATAACTACTTTAACCTATTATTTAAAATATTTTACAAGTTAGTATATGAATAGTGCATAGTTTCTTTACACAAAAACGTGCTAGTTTTTAGCAGATGATACCTTACAACCTTACACCTAAATATATCTAAACATAACTATACATGAGTAATGTAAGGTGTCATTGCTTCAACTCTCGATTAAGAAATATTAAAGAAGACGTATAGCAAGCTGCGCTAGGCGGGGCCGTGAGGCGGCTGAGGCCGTCGCGTCGCGTCGCGTCGAGCGCGCTACGCGTTGTTGCGCCGAGCCACTAGCCGAGCCGAGCGGAGCCGAGCCGAGCGGAGCCCGAGCCCCGAGCCGTCGGCCGCGCTAGTCTACGCTAGTCCTCCCCCTCCCTCGCACCGCTGGAGCCCCCGCACCGCCCCCCCCCCCCCCCCCCTTCCCTACAAGTGTAAATACAGAAATATAATAGACTGGAATAGAATAATTCTTGACAAGGTATCATCTGCTTTTACGATCCGTTTCTGGTCGGAACTTTTTTTGTGTGTTTTGGCTGACAGCTTTGTGTGAGCCACTTTGACATCGACTATTAACCGTTTGAGTGTCGCGGTTCTATCTTGAATGTCTTACCCAGGTGTTGTCATCAAACATAAATGAAATCGTCCAATTGCCATTCAGGACTTGTAACTCTTTTGGTTTACGTGGATTGAAGTGAGAAGCACGCAAGTACCATGTTGAGGGAAGGTTTGGTTCACAGTTGGTGAAGTGTTCGCCGTAAACAATGTAAGGGCCCTGATCGAAAAAGAAATGTTAAACCCATCAAGAAACACGTTCCAAAGGAATGGAAGCAAATTTCTTATAATATCATCAACTGATATTGATGTCATTTTGACAAATCCATGTTTTGAGGTTTACAGTAAAGGCACACCGTTGACAATTGTCCAAATTGTAAATGGACATCGCAAAACGATACTTTCGAACTTACTATCAAATTTTTCATGACTTTGCCGTGGATGCCCTCCTCGCAGAACATGAGTATTTGGAGGACCACGAGCAGAAATGACATATTGCGCATACAAGCGGGAGCCTCAGAACAAGCCGTTCACTGCCGCACTGCGATGCACATACTGAGCGTTTCAACCGAATACCCATCGCGTGCGATTGAAGTTTCGAGTCGACTAGCGTGTCGCAAACCAAACCACACAAAATTAGTTCTGATCACCAATTTGATAAACGTGTGAAAACTGGTCCCATTTATTTGATCAAAACTGGAGTGGTTGAGAGAGAGAGGGGGGGGGGGAGAAGGGGGGGGGGCAGCATGCTACGAAGCGAAATTGAAAAATTGCCGGCGTGACGTGGTTTTGTGATGCGGCGGTGGATAAGGGCTCCACCCCCCTCGCCTCGCACACACCCAACAGATACAGCCTAACTGGCCGGCGAGGGGGGTGGGGAGAGAAAGAGATATTCAGCTGGGTGTGCAGGCCGGCGGCGAGGGGGGGCGGTGGAGGGGAGTCGTCCACCTGTCCGCCGCGATATAAGGCCAATATGCGCGGTGGGCCATCCCCCCAGCCACCCTGGCCGCTCGGCCTCACCGCCGCGGTGGTGGAGGGTCTTTCTCTCTCTCTGGCCGGTGGTGCCCACCACCTCTCCTTCCTGCCCCCCACCGCTGCTCCTACCGCGCCCCCCGCCCCTCACGCCCCATGAGCCGGAAAACGAACCTCCCGAAGCAATTTCGCTGACGATAACTTGTTGGCGAGATCATCGAAGCAGGCCGTTCGAAAGCCCGCGCGCGTTGCGAGCCGTTCCCGTGTTCTATGCGTCTCTCTCTCTCTCTCTCTCTCTCTCCCTGCAACGCTAACCTTTCCGAACTCCCTTCCCCCCTCCCTCCTCTCCATCTTCTCGATGCATTAGTGAAAAGGCTAATCGTAAATAGGCGCGCGATGCTGTCCGGCCCTGGGGCCAGCGGCGCGGGACAACTGCGCTGAACTGATTCATAGTCTCGCGTCAGTCAGATCGTATCTGGTGGACATTGTCTGCCGCTGCGCGCGCCGTGGCTGGGCCCAGGACACATGCTCCACTATATATCACAGCCAAACTGGGCTGCTGGCTCTCCTCTCTGCCACCGGTGCCGCCCCCCCCCCCCCCCCCCGGATTTCCTCATAGAAATGAGGTGTCCTCCGATGGCAACCCCCTATCTGCTGCTGGCTGCGCCCCTACTACACCTCCGCACATGATAATGGTAACACCCTGTAGGTGTTTGCGGATTTTCGTTTGCTTCCTGCAATTATTTTTGAAAAAAAAAAAGTAGGAAGAAATATTTGGATGCATGAGTTCTCGTTGTATCTACGAGAGTATGCACCGGTGCACTGCAGTATCTGAGGGTTTGTTATATCGGAGAAGGAAATACGAGGTGCGCTGCACCGAGTGCGGAAGCGTGGCGTGGCGGGACGTGGCGGGGCGTGGCAGGGCGGGGGTGTTCTGAGGATGCATGCTCCGGGGCACAAAAGGTCCCCGCGCCGCGCCGGGCCGCCAACCCTCCTCCATTGCCTAACTATACCCGGCCCGTCCCACTCCAATGGCCTCAATGGCCTAGATGGAGCGGGGCTGCGCCGCCAGCCAGTGAGCAAAGAATGAAGGCTACGGACCTGCACTCGAGAGGGAGGGCGGGAGAGAGAGAGAGAGAGAGAGAGAGAGAGTAAAGGGGAAGGAGGGAGGGAGGGAGAGATCTTTACAGTTTCTCTGCCTCCCTCCTTGGGGCACACAGCGCGCCATTCACACGGCACGTCTTTTGAATACCTCATAGATATGTACATTTCCAATTTCCAAAGGCAACTTTCCTTTCTCTCTCCCCCACTTTCTTCCCCGCTCCTCTCTCTCTCTCTCTCTCTCTCTCTCGGTACGACACAACCCAAAGGAATTCAATGAGGTTCGAACAAGGGAGGAAAAACGTGTTCGCGACACGGTATGCATGCATAGCATTTACGAGTGTCGTGAAAACCTCCCAAAAATAACTGTAAAGCTATGATATAAAGCAGAAGAAAATATTTTCCTCCATTTTGCAGAGTACTGTACCGCACAGCGCGCGCAATGGAGCTGCTGCTGCCGCCGCCGGCCGTTTAGACGACCCTGCCAATTAGGCGCAAGTGTCGGGAGATTGCCCCCCACCCCCCGTCTCTATCTCTCTCTCTCCCTGGAGTTGCACCGCGCGGCGAGGCGGCGCGGGGCAGGACCGCAGCAGCTTTGTGCTGCACCGTACAGAAAGGCTCTGCTGAATCGCACGTCCCCCAACCATCCCAACCCCCCGCATCCCCCACTGACTCTGACCTCGCGAGCCTGCTGGGACTGCTGCTATGGGCTTTGTTGTGCCACTTTGCCTCCAGCGACCCTCCCCCTCCCCTTACTCCTCTCTCTCCCACTTCCAAACGCACGCTCTCTCTCTCTCTCTGCTCTCTCTCTCGTTCTATCACACCCACGCACACGCCGCACGGAAGGTGGCGTTCCTCTTCACTAGGACAAGCGCTGCTGCACGCACCGCGCGCGATAGAAAAGAGAAGAGGAAGGAAAGATTTTGTTGAGCGTTTCTCAACGCCCATTCTTTCCCTTTCCTTTCCGTCTTATTTTCTCTCTATCTGACTGTATCTGTCGGTATGCCCCCCCCCCTCTCTCTCTCTGCTACGCCCTTACTTTCATTTCACGTGCCCCCTTTATTTACCTGCCCTCCAGGACGCAAGCCCTTTCCCTCCCAAACTGACAGCCCCGCCGCTCCGCCGAGGGGATCCGGGGATCCCGCAATATTTGGATACCGCCAACGCTAATAAATAGAACTCGTCCTCGCTCTCTCTCTCAATCACTCTATCTCTCTCTCTCTCTCTCTCTCTCTCTCTCTCTCTCTCTCTCTCTCACACACACACACACAGTGGTAGAAAATCCAAGAAGGATGATGACGATAAAAAGCAAAGCCAACATCATCCTTGTAGCCCTCTATCGAGCCCACAACTTTGTGTACATATATCAGAGCGGCTGTATATGTTAATAGGTGGGGGCGGTACATGCGGCATACATTTCATGTTCATCACATGCTTTAAAAGGAAATAAGACGCACGCGCGGTTTACATCCGCGTATAATAATAATAACGGATATATGGTACTACAGCCCGACATATGATGTGCTGCTGGGTACCGCGACGACGCTATACTGCACACGCGCGGGCGGGGATGATGAACAGGCATAACGGGATGGGAAATCCCTTTGAGGTACGGCGCACATTCCGGAGAGAGGAGGTCGTGGATCAGAATAGAACGCAGAGTACACGCACGCGCAGTGTGTCCCGGGCGGGTCTCGAGGACACGTCTGATCAGCGATAGAACAGCAGGCAGGGGCCTATCGAGCTGGGAGGTGTCACCTTTAATTAATTCCATAGGGTGGGGAAGCGGCCACCCCCCTCCCCGGCGCACCTCGGCGAGCGACATACGATCCGCAGGAGGAGGGTCTCATAGGAAGCTGGCAAAGCCTCCTCCTGGGGCCTCTTCTACTAGGCACTCGGAGAAGAGAGGGAGAAAGCAAGAGGGAGAGAGATGCCAGGCTTCTTTACCGGTGGCTAGGAAGCGGGCCTATTTGCAATTTGTTCCAACTCCTGTAGTAGAGTCAGAGGGCGAAATCGAGCGTTATCGCTGAGCGAAGCTCAGTCCAAGTTGCTGAGGGGTCAGGCGTTGTCTCGGTCGTGAGTCTGTCTGTCCGTGTGTACGTTCGTCTTTTTCTCGAAAACGGCACCTATTACGGAATGCGAGTTTGCCTAAACATCTATAATTTAAGGGAGACCCAGTCTCCCCTTTTCGTTCGCAACGGACTAATTTGAAATATTTGGTCCTTTCTTTCCCGGAGGGAGCTTCAGATGTTGTTGTTTCGGTGGTGGCTACCCTGAGTGGAAAAGAGCGCGAACACTCAAATGGCTCCTTGCGCCCACTTCGAGACTTTTTGATTTTCTCACACGTGATCATAATGTCAGATGGACAAACCGAGTGTGAAATTTTCAGTTTTAGAGTTGCGGAACTCGACTTACAAAGTTTCGCCGGTGTCCGGTGAAAAGGAACGAAAGTGATTTTTTGAATGGTTCACGTAATTACGTACGTAAGTTGGAGGGGAGGAGGGGGTTCGGGGTTTGGGAGAAATGTGCAAATGTAACTATTGCTTCGGGGTCATCTTGACAAAAGAAAACGAAAATGTTTTATGCTCTAAGACGTTCGGAATCGAAATGGCAGAGATATTACCCACCAATTTGGGTATTTGGTCGATTTTGAACACTTTTTACCCTTTGGAAGCTAATAACTAAGCCATTTCGACTCTGATCGGCTTTGAGCATAAGACACTTTCTTTTTCATTTTGAAAAAAGAAACCAAATCTTGTATTACACTTTTAATTTTTTAACCTCTAAAAAAATCCAAATTTTCAATTTTTGTATTTTAACAAAATGTAATGGTGTGTACTTGTAGTATGATTGGAAGTCACCTAATGTTTTATTGGGACATGTCAAAACGATTATTCGACCCACAACTTATTTCACAATAGCCATGGACCTGCAAGGGACCGGACAATATTATAGCCAATATCGTTAACTCAGGAAGGATAGGCCCATCGAAATCAGAACAAGGTATATCATTTTCTTAAATTGACTAGCTTTGTCTGGAGTCCCATTATGTTGAATGATATCCAATAAAATGATAGGAGCATTTAAATTAAACTCTATGATACGATACATAATAGAACTTTCAATTAAATATACTTCAGCGACTTGTGATCCTTCAAATGCTTCGGAGAGATCTGATAAAAATGAATGAAAGAGCGACAAGTTATACTTGTCGAAGGTGAGAAGTTTAATTGTATTTTGAAATTAAATTAAATATTAGGGTATTTAATTTCACTTCAACCAGAGGCAACCTAATAGAATTTCACCTTTCACAAATAAAATGAATTGAATAAAATGGGAGCATCATGTGGCATTACAGAAAAGGGTAAATTGAGTAGGGGGAGGGCAGTGGGGATAGGAAGGGACAGTAGCAGAAATATTCTGTATAAACTTCAGGAACGCATAAATTTAAGCCCCCACCCCCACACCCCTCTATATCCAGCCACTGTAACAGTTGTGTGTTTACCAAAACAAATCAAACATGTATTTGGATGAATAGAAACCAGACTTCCCAGCATCAAGCTTTTCTAGTGGACTTCCAAATCTATTCTATTGCATAGTAATTACTCAAGTTCACTACTCA